ATTTTGGCATAAAGAGCAATATAAGAAGATTATGAAGCAGATGAATATATATTTTAAAAATCAAGTTTTGATTTTGGCCCCCTCACATATGTTTCAAGTGAAAGCCTTTCCCTGGATAGAAGGTTTAGCTCAAGGTAACTTTTCTTCTCTTGAAATGGTTACAAAAGTAGATCTGGCTTTTATTTAGAATTACAAGTTCAGAAGTATTAATTAGCATGCAATTCTTATTACAAAGTACAAGAAAACTCTGATGTTGGCTGAAGTTTTGAGATTTAAAAACATGTAACTTCCTTAATAACTTTTCCTGAAAAAGTTGGCTCTGCTGAAAGGATATGAAAATAAGCCATAAGATCTTGACTATGTGCACCAGGCCCAGAGACTATGTTTTGCAGATGTTTTCTGGTTACCATAGTAGCTTCTGAATTTGTCTCTATCAATCTAAAGTTGGTAACCTAATTTTAAGAACTGATCACCAAGTCATTCCTGTAGCATACTGTTTCAACAGAAATAAACAGAATATTGCAAAACTTAAAAATCAAAAACTACTTTACTTCAGCCCTGGATAATAACATAATCAGATATAGAGTTAGCATTAACATACAAATCCTCTTAAAAAGCCAGACCATGACATTTTGCACAAGCCAAAAGAAGTGCTTTGGGTATGCCAAAAATTCTTGTTTTCCAGGTACCAGAAATAAGAAAAAAAAAAGCTTTAAGTTTGAACATTTGAATATTACTTTGCTTCTCTGAAGTCTACTTTCAGATTTAAGGTGAAATACTATGTTCATTACAGATTTTCTTTTCTGAGATTTTCTGAATATGTACATCCTGGCATGTAAACCCACCATGGTCATGCTCATAATACAGAAAAAGTGCCTAATTTGGTACCATGTTCTCTTATTTTTCCTTTCTCAATTTCTAACTTTGCAAACTAGTTATCTTGCAGTGAAAAGTTTTTTTTAAGTAGCCATCTGCTGATACCCATATAGAGAAAGATTATAGGCAGCAGCCGTCCAGTACATACATAGATCACTATCCAACTTGAATTCTGAAAGGCTTAACATCATGTTTTCGCAGTTCATATTACTGTATGATCAGAACAGGCACTAAGCTTTCCAAGCAACAGAGTTTGCATGGATCTCAAGCAACACTGCCTCCATTACAATTTATTATCATCTTGAAATTTAAAAGCACTCTTGCATAACTTAGCCTTGGAAAAACTACACAGGAGAAATTGTCTGTAGTATGAATAATTGTGATAATTTTTCATACACTTATCTTTACTCATCTGGTAATATATTCATGCACAAAGTTGATTATAAAAACTGAATCAGATAAGAATAATTTAAGAATCAGAATAAATCAGAATAAATGAGCTAACACTACTGGTGTTGTGCTAGAGGCTGCTTATGTTATTGTAGTGTTATACATATCAGTTGTAGCACTCCATACACTGGGGAAAGACTCAATAGCCCCCAGTCAGTTCTGCTACATGACTAATCCTTTGTGAGCCGCCTCGAGGCTTTGTTGCGATGGGGGCGGCATAGAAATGTTTTAAATAAAAAAATAATAAATAAATAATCAAGGACACAATGAAGGCAGAATAGCAAGCCTTCTCTGCTTCCTGCACCATCAAGCAATAGGCACAATTGTGTCCTCTAGAGCATGCTCAGTCATCACTTTGCATCTTAAACCATCATCCAGCATGTTTAATTGGAGGCAGCTCTACAGTATAACAAGGAGCAGAGTGGGCTCTAAAACACCCAAGATGGCACTCAAGTACAACCAAGTTCTACAGTGAGACTAAGGCACTGGCTGGATTAGCGGTTCTCTCCACTGGAAAATCCCCAGGAACATTCTGAAACCCCCTGGATTCCATCCATCCAATTGGACAGCCAAGTCAAATGGGTCTCCCAACCCTGCGGGAGGTAAGTAAAACAAAACTATCTCAGAAGCAAGTTCACAAGTCTGGCTGTAACAGTGGAGTTATTTCAAACCTTCCACCCCTCCAAATTTTCAAACTCATTATTTCTCAGCATGAAGCAAAGACCAAATACAGTGGTACCTTGGCTCACAAACTTAATCCATTCCAGAACTCTGGTCATGACACAAATTGGTTGTGAGCCAAGTTAAATTTCCCCATAAGTTTCAATGTAAATAAGGTTAATCCATTCTGTAACCATTTTTTAAATCAGAAAAATGTGAAGCAAAGTGACAACAAAGATCGTGGCCATCTCCCCCGCCACCCCAAACACAAGTGCAGCCATCTCCCCACCCCTCCAGCACAACCGAGATCGCGCCTGTCATCCCTGCACGTGCCTGTCATCCCTGCAGGCGCCCATCATCCTGGCACACTGGGGGGTGGGGATGGAGAGACGGGCGTGATCGCGGGTGCACTGGGGGAGGGAGAGATGAGCGCAAATGGTGCGCTGGGGGTGGGGAGATGGTTGCGATTGCAGTTCTGTTCGTGCAGGGAAGGAGTGCCTGATCAGAGGCACACTCCTACAGGAAAGACAGGCGGAATCTCAGCCAACTCTCCCGCGGGTCTGCTTTGCTGCTCCTGTCTTTCCTGCAGCAGTGCGCCTCTGATCACGAACGGAACTGAGATTGTGGCCATCTCCCCACTTTTGAGGGGGGTGGAGATGGCTGCGATCTTGGTTGCCACCCAAAGCGGTGTTCATGACCCAAGTCAAAATTTTTCAGAAACTTTTGTTCGTGACCCGATTTGTTGATGAACCAAGGTGTTCGTGAGCCGAGGTACCACTGTATGGGTATGCTTTACTTTGTGGGTTAAGTCAATGACAAACTGTGACAAGCCCATGGTTGTCATGGAGACCAAGAAGTCCTGAGCTGGAGCTAGAGAGACAGCTTTAGCATGAAAATTAAAGTTCCTCAAAAGTCAGAACCATCTTCCTGGGTTCCCCCTACCTGAGAATGCCTTTGCCAGGAAGCAGACTGGGCAATATACATCAGCAGCATCCCCAGCACTAGGTGAAACCCCTCAAGGTCTGGTTCAAGATGGAAGGGTTTTCTGGCAGGCAAATTGGAAGATTTGTAAGCCACAGTGATTCCCTGCCACTAGGTTGGCCCTCTAGCCTGGCCCTCTAACCTATGTTTTATGTTTATATATTTATTTATATCCTGTTTTTTCCTTTCAAGAAACCCAAGGCAGCTTACACAGTCCTTCTCCTCTTAACTCTATCATCATAATAGCAACCTTGTGAGGTAGGCTGAGAGTCTATGACTGGTCCAAAGTCACCCAGCCAAAATCCATGGCTAAGTGGAGTCCAGAACCTGCAGCTCTCAGTCCAACACTGCAACTATTATGATACCCTGGCTCTCCAGAGAGAATGCTGGTGATGCCCTGAGTACCCAGGTGGTCAGAGCTGAGTATACTCAGCCTCTGCCCAGCTCATCCACCGAAGTTCAGCAATATATGCTGTATGTGTGCATAGATGAGATAAATATATAAATGAGAGAAAGAAAGATATGAGAATTTATCTCATCTACACTTAAATTGTGAATGAGAGAGATTTTATTGAAGATGGTATTAAAGCAGTACTGCAATACTCCAGGAAGGCTCAGTGGATAAGAGGAGTTGGGTAGAAAGGGAAAAGTGTCTAGATATCTATTAGCAGTTCTGTTCTGATGTCCTGACTCCTCCTACTGACATATCCTTCTATCCCGGATCACTGAAACAGTTACTACCTCCATAGGTTCCTATATCAGAGTTTTCCAAGCACATTAACACTCCAAAAATTCCCACACATTCTCAACATCCACTCAAACATCCTTTCAGCCACTGAGAGCCTCACATACTCCATTCACCCAATCAATGGAACACAACCAACCAGGCACATTCAAAGATTACCGTTTGCTGTTATAACCTGCCACATATTGGCCAAGCAACATATCAAGCCCACTTCCACTAGTTCATGATCACTTCATCCCATACCTGGATGTTAACCTTGGATGTCAGACCCAAACTAACACCAGTTTGCTCCAATCTAACAAGAGTAAAGGAAGGATGGAAGCAAATGACAATTCAGGAGAAATGGTGGAGAAACTCCATATCCCTTCCCTTAACACATTTATCTTAACTATGCTTTGAAACTGGAAATAAGCACAGCTAGGAGAAAAACATCCTGGAAAGGAATTGCATGGGGGCAGAAATAAGAGGCAGACAAAAGAAATATTGAAGATCCCCTTCCTGTTCTCAGCTCGACCACCTGAAAATCATCCTATACCCTCCACCCTGCACACAATATAGAGCTTTTCATGTGCAGAATTCATACATACAGATGCAAATCTTTTGTAAGCACAGCTGGCTGCGTGCTAAAAGGGTCTTTATTTTGGAATACCTAGTACTTATCCCAATCCATATATAGATATCTATTCAGTTAAACCTTTCATGCAGATTGGGGCCAGCCCTGTAGATTGGCACCCTTCATTTTGAAATACATGGGAAAGCCACTATGGTAAGGAAGCTCCATGTGTACACAGTAACTCCTGCATCTGGAATGGATCACTTACCTGAGACACAATCTTATGTAGAGTTAGCTACCTTAATCATGAATTATGCTGCTGTTTTATACTTTTTCTCTATAATACACCCCACAAAGGGACATAACTGAGGAAGAAAAAAGAAATAAAATGATTTCTAGCCATCACCGCAACCACTTCAAGCATGTCAGTATGAAGCAGCTTTCACAATGTCACATGAAATGGCTATTTTGATCTTTTTATGTCTATTTATGTAGGATAAGCTATATGCAGAATACAATATGTACACTTTAAGTGGGAAAGTTAATCACGATACTATAAATATTGCAATGGAATGAGAAAGTAGAATTAACCATCTCATTCACCTCATAGTTACAAATGCTCCACCCAATTTGATCCAAAATAATTTGAGTTTTTTGAATTATCTAGACTTCCCCAAGCATTTAAAAATGAACCAATTTCTCATAGATTGTTTGTTACTGGTCAAATATTCTCACCTCGGCAATCATTCTGTTTGTGTCACCTAAGAAAAGAAGGTTCAGTGCTTCTTCCTCATTGTTTGCTTGCTGCAAGGAGAGATGTTTCAGATGAATGTTCTGTTCAGTATCTTCCATTATTGTCACCTTTCTATTTTAAAAAAGTAAGGAAGAAAAGAGCCTGAGAGAATCTTGGCCACAACTACAGAACAGGATTTAGAGTTTTCTGAATAAGTCAATGCACTGATTTTCTTTCTGTCTTTCCTGAGCACATTCTTTAGCAGATAATGTAATTGTCCATCTCTGGATATTCACAGCAAAGTTTCTCATTAAATGTATGTTTTAATTGGACATTCCACAAGGGCTAGAGACTGAAATATCTGAGATTAAAGATACAACATTTTATTTATTTACTTGCTCCTGCTGGAACTCACAAAAACATTAGAACTATCAAAGCTGGTGAGACCATAGAGGAATTGGTCTCACCTCTACTCACAATCAGTTCAAGCATTTCAGTGGGTGAGAGGGAGCTCTCTCCTGCTTGTAGGGAAGTCACTATATATTCACATATACAAATATAAGAATATAGGAAGAGTCATGCTGGATCAGCCAAAGATATACAGCCTAGCATTCTGCTCATGTAGTTGCCAATTCACTGGCTGTGAGGAATCCACAAGCAGGACATAGATACACAGCACCCTTTCACTCATCTTCCATAGTAACTGATGGACATAGGCATCCTGCTCTGATATTGGAAATAGCATACAGTAATCATAATAATTAATAGTCACTGACCACTTTATCCTCCAAGAATGGGTTTAATTCCCTTTTAAAGTCATCCAAACTGGAGGACATTGCTACATTTTGGGATAGCACATTCCCATGGTTTGGATGCACAGCAGTGGCCAGGAAGCCACTTCAGAAATGTGGGTGTCAGTAGCTAAGGTTCCTCCTTTGCACATTAAAGGTCACAGTCCTTTTTCTTGCAAAGCATTCTTTATTGACCAAAAGTGAAAAACACAGAGAATGAATCCCTGGGCATGCACAGAGTGTGTGTGTGTTTTTTTTAAATCCAATCTAGTATTCACCTCCAGGAACTCTCCTTAAGAGCATGTCTGTTCTTCCCTTCCCTTTGGGAGGAGCCTTCTGAAAATGAGCACACTTCCTCACTACATGGGGCCACCCTCCTCTGCTGACAATACATGGGGTCAAGAGATGGGGCCACCTCATCTGAGTCTGGAAAACTCCTCTAGTCCAAGTCCCCTCCTGCCAACTGTCTGGGTTTTTTTCCAGAGACTGCCTGCCCACCTGGGGAGTCTAGCCTTGAGATAAGTGACTCCATTTCTCTCAACTCAGTGTCTCGGGATGGCCCACATTCCCAGGCCTCCTTCTGCTCCTTTCTCCCTTCTACTTTTGATTCTGATTCTTCCAGAGATCAGCCAGAAGCCCTTGAGAAAGCAGCCATCTTGCTCACTCCCAAGAGTGAGTATACTTCAGTATTTGTTTTCCTGGGTTGCTAGAGTCACCCAAACCAGTATGTTCTCTCCAGGACTGAACTTTCCTTTGAAATAGGAGGATGTCTTCTACTCTGCACCCTACTTGCCTACTCTTTGGACTGAACACAATAGGAGAGAGATGCTCTGCTTTGCAATGTCATGGACCATCTGCTGAACTATGAGACTCACTCTTTCTTGCTCATCACCACAGCATCTCTAGAATGTGGTTTCAGAGATCAATTCCTGTAGTTGTCTCTTCCTCTAAGAAGGTGCACATGGCCACACCAGCACCACCAAAATACATAAATGCCACACTGCTGTTTCTGTATGTGTTCAGGGATAGTCCTATTAAACTATGGGCAAAGAGATGATATTTTGGGTGATGTATGGCACCAATGAACCTTTTCATACATTTCTTCAGTCTCCTTCTGACACACCTCTACAATTCCTCCCTTCAGTTCCATGTTTATCTCATGTTTTAATCAGGAATATATGAAACAGATCAGTCTTCAACAAGGGTCACAAACTATGTCAAGGTTTAATAATTAAAAAAAACTTCTATGAGCCAGCAGGAATATAGTAAAAGTGTCTTTAAACACATGCAGAGTGCCCTTACTTTTCCTGCTCCTCCCACAAGGTTAAGGAAGAATGGATTGCATAGATGACTTTCTTCTGCATAATCCTAAATCACCTGCAAGTCTCTTTCCAGAAATTAGACAATGGCTCTAGTTCCCTGGCACGTCCCAACATAGCAAGTATCTCTTTTAAAAACTAGGGTAAAAGGCTTAGAAGACACCATCTTTTGTTCTGTTCCAAGTGAATCCATTCCCCGCCCCCTTGCTGCTGCTTCACTTCACAGTAATGCCAGGGAAAGCGAGGAGGAAGAGGAGGAGGACAGAAAGACCAAATATGAGATGGATCAATTCCATAAAGAAAACCACAGCACAGAATTCATAAGAGCTGAGCAGGGCTGTCAAGGACAGGACATTTTTGGAGAAATTAATCCATAGAGTCAACTCAAAGTCTTATTTTGTTATTTCTTATCTTAACCAGCCTTTTTTATTCATTTTTGCTTGGAACGTGGGAGTGCAACAGAGATGGAAGGTGCAACTGGGGCTGAGATACAGAGAAAGGCCCCCTCTTGGATGCACACCTTAAATGGTGAGAGGGTTTAAGAGTGCCAGGAAGCCAAGAGTAGTGCTGCCAGGAGGCCGGACTGTCAGTAGTCTGCTATCCTAGCAGGGTTACCCAAGAGAAAATGGCCAAGGCTGAGACACCAGACTAAGATGTTGCTACCCGATTCAAGAGAGAAGCTCCTGAAAGGCTGCTACTGGGTGGCAGCAGGAGTTGAAGGTGATACTGGCAGAGGGCCCTGCTCCATACAGAAGGGTTAATATGATGACAGACTCCTTAGAAGGGGAACCCTTGAGGAAGAACCTGAAATATTAGAAAGTGAAGTGAAAGCTGCTGCAACAGCACTTGAAAGGAACAAAGCGTTGGCAGTAGATAGGATCCCAATAGAACTATTTCAAGCTGCAGAGACTGAAGTGTTAGGATTCCCAAATCCTAACAAGATTATGTTCACAAATGGGGCAGAAGGGATGGCTCACAGACTAAACATATTCAGTATATATTCCAGTCCCCAAGAAGGAGATGCTAAGAAGCCCAGCAACTACAGGACCATTGCAGTAATCTCCCATGCAGGCAAAGTGAAGTTTAAGGTGTTATAAAAAGAATTTTATCCTGTATGAAACAATAAATGCCTAGCGTTTAAGCTGGTTTCTTAAAAAGAAGAGGCACAAGATCATACTGCAAATATACTTTGTCTACTGGAACTCAAAGAATTTCACAATGAGAAATGAGACTAAATATGAAGTTTTGCTTCATTTTGGTTGTCTGTTCGATTTAATTTGCATTATGTTTAATTTACAAATATTCTAGGACACATTTAGGAATAAACCTTCTCAAAATCACATACAGGATAAAAAACATAATATACAAACTGGTAATTAATATACAATAGTGTAAAAACTATAAAAGCAGTAAAAGAACTATAAAATCTGTGAAGATGAATAGTGCTTTCAGGTGGTAACTACTACCAAAAAAGGTCTGGGTTTGTTTAGAAAGGAGTGTATTATACCACATAATAATGTATAAATAGATGAGCTTGCTGTGGAGGTGGAAGGCTGAAACTTCACATCATGATCAATTTAGTGGTCAGGAAGCCCAATGTAAACAAACCCTTAGAACAGGCATACCAGATTATTCCTGTTACTGACTCACTGTGAAAACCAAACTGACCATGAAATGTCGAGATTCTCCACATTATTTCTCCAGTATCTCCAGTGTCAGGAGTGTGAAGAACAGAAACATCTGGAGGTTCCAAGCTGAAGAAAAAGGCCCTATTTCAGAGATAACCCATGGCCATGTTAGCTTTGATGCAATATCCATTACCACAAGTCATGGTGATGTAACATATCTCAGGAGGCTACTCTGACTGAGTCCTGGAGTAGGTGAGATGTTTCATGACTGTGTACCTGCAGTTACTGGGGTATAAAGAAGCCTAGCTAGCAATGAAGAGAGAAAGAACTACACAGATTGAATCCACAGGATCAGGGAAAGGAAATGAACCAGCTTATTCCCTTGCGTCACACATGCCAGTGATGTGCTACTGAATTATCATAATTACCATCATGGAGTGCCATTTGACATGGCATCCAAAGCTGGAAAGGGTGGATTGGCAGACATGTTTACAAACCACCCCAGAACCTATAGTTTATTCTAGGGTTGTGGGATGGTTTCTAAACTACCCCTGTTGGGGTCAGACATCATGACAACAAGGGTAATTGTGGTAATACAGTGGAACATGACTAACATGCACAAGGTGGGGAAATAAGGAATGGCACCTAATTTTCCTTCCCCAATCATACAAACCCATCCATTGTAAACAGTGAATATATTGAGGACTTAAGGTTAAGTATATGAAAGGCTGTCAAATACCTGACAGCCTGTCACACAGATGAAGGACAAGATCTCTTCTTGTCCATTCAAGAGTGCAAGACACGGGATAATGAACTTAAGTTAAAAGAAACCAGATTTAGGCTAGACACCAGGAAGAACTTCTTCACTGTCAGAGCAGTACGACAATGGAACCTATTACCTGTGGATGTTGTGGGCTCTCCCTCACTAGAGACATTCAAAAACCATCTGGACAATCATCTGAGTGGGATGGTGTAACTTAGTATTTGACAACAGCAGGGGGTTGGATCCAATGGCCTTCTGGCCCCTTCCAACTCTACTATTGTATGATTCTATAATTCTATGAAAAGTAGAATTTCTTTCCTAATTATTTTTGTGTGCCTTGTAGGGCTCTGAGCATTAATGAAGAAGTGTTAGTGATGCCCAGGAAAAGTAGGCTAAAATACTAAGGCTCTGAGTCTCAGGGCAGCTTGAGTCAGAACTCTGATGCCCAGGAAGCAGAAGCCTACATATTCTTGTTAAGGAGCTCTGGGGCTCAGGAGTGAACAACCAAGCATTTTTCTAGAACAAAACACCTCTCTCTAACAGTCAAGCCCTTAGGTTTTCTTTCTAGTTTTACAACTTGGCTGATGCAACCAAGGAGTTTGTACAGTACAACTTGGCTAATACCATTTTACACATATTCCACTCAGCTTTAAAGAAGTCTACAAATTCCATCCACTTAGCCAAATGGAAAACATTCTTTGTTTATAGAGAAAACAAAAACCTTGCTTCTGCCTCCTCTCCATCATTATGAATAGTTAGCAGTACTTTTCCACATCAAGATCCAAGTTAAAACTAAATCATGTATTTTAAACATTTCTACCTGCGTTGTAGGGATGGAAAGGTCTACAGAAAAAAAGGTAGCAATACAACTGGAATTCGGAGTAAAATACTGGACAGTAGCAACAGTTCCTCTCTCACTGTTTGTGTCTGGTTTGACATAGAAGACTGTTTATGTAATACCTTCTAATCAAACTGATGTGTATTTCTGCCACAATGGAAAAGGATTGTGTAGATTAACCAAAAGCCCAAAACAAAACGTGGGAGTAAAACTCTAGGTATCCAATAACAGCCCAGATTCCAGCAGTAGTAATTGCAATGCCCATTTCCCTTAGCGCTACCAGACAGCTGTATTTTTGTAGTACTTAAGATTCTTAACAGATGAAAAAAGACTGTGCAAAGGAAAAAAAGCACTAGCTTTTATTTTACAAATAGCAATGTCATTATGTAATGTGATATTGACATATTTACTGTGGAAAAATCACTTTAAGAATAATTACATATAAATTCACCTGTACATAAGAAGTTTAAAAAGGGGGCAGCAAAAAAGTGTATCTAAGGAGGGCTAAAATTTTGAACCAGGGAAACATTTTGTACTGATCTTTTAAAAAAACATGTTACTTACGGCAAGTCTTCTAGTCTGGAGGCTTCATGCCGTGGATCCAGGAGATCATAACCACACTCATTGTAAATTTCTAAGTAGGAAATATGTGTTGTGTATACTTTGCTGCTATCCTGAATTAAAAGAAAACAAAACTTGCCTGAAACCAAACAGCAGGTTGCCAGTATATCCAGGATCTACATTTGTATTTCTAACTGCACATCTTCAGTTCAAATTAAATTTGAAGTCTGTCTTATTGTTACTTAAATATGGCTTTCTTTAAAGGCCCACATGTATTATTAGGAGTTTGTCTACTTTTTCAATTATCAGTTTTCCAGAATAAACATGTTGTTTGCCTTTTCATACACATAAGAAAAACAGTAATAAAACATGTTAAGTTTGTCATTAAAAAACCAACAGCAACATGCTGAAAATAAATGAAAAGTGTTCCCATCCAGGTCCTTCTGCCAAAAGCATAATGCATTACTGCACATATATAATGGTCCCATAAACACAAATGTGTAAATGCCCATATTTTTGTGAACTGATCTGTCTTCTGCAGAACTGCTTTGCTGGGTTAGGCAAAAGAGTGAGTAAAAAGTAATCAGTTGTGTTTGAGTACCTAGGAATCTTATGAAGGCATCTTACCCCTAAGAAACAAATTGAATTCTCCATGCTGAATGAGTTATTATTTTTGGGACATCAAGCAGTAGTCCTACTTGCATGTCAGGACACCTGCTCATGCCAAGCCACTGCTGTATTTCATACTATGCAAAGGCCAAAACTGCTATGGCTAATAGGTTTGGAAGCACAGGGTCCAAAAATTAGCATGGACAGTCATATGAGTAACAACCAGCACAGCTTCTCTGTGAAAATACAACCAAGATTACAATCTTATACCCACTCACATGGGAACAGATACCACTGAACTCAATTAGACTTGCCTCTGAGTAGACATATATAGAATTGTATCCCACGTGGAACTGCAGATTTTAATGAAGTAAAGTTTCAGGCAAAGGTACCAAGAAGAGGAAGAAACAGAGGGCAAGATAAAGAAAGGCAAGGCAAAGCCTGCTGGGAAGGAAAGCAAGCCCTAGAAATCACTTACTTAAGCAACCATAGCCCATCCTTCATCTACACATTTCCATATACATGACAGAAATCTTACTAAGACACACGCAATGCATAAATTTGATTGTTGTGTAATATTATTTATTTCTAAAATACAAGGTTGCTGTGTTTTGTTTTGTCTTATTTTGTTTTACAATGTACATTACTATAATTGTGCAAATCTTCAAATTAAGCTATTGTTAAAATATATCAAAGCTGTACTTCATTTAGAAACTCCTCTGGCATGCTATTTTCTTCTTTTTTTAATCAAAAAGCTCTATCCCAGCATATGCTGTCAGCTGCCCCTGAAAGCTTACTTTCTGTTTAGCCCTGCCAGAATGTAATATAACCCAACTGTTTTCTGCAGACAGGATTCTCTCCGCCTAACAAGACAAATCCAAACAATCTAAAATTCACAATAATTAACTGCAAAGTTGTGATCTAGAGGAAAAGAATAAATTTCCATCACAAACTGAAGATATTCTTAAGGACTTCATGCATCTAATGACTATTTTCTAATCACAAATGCTATCTGAAAGTTAAACTAGATGTATGACAAGTGATTGCATCTTCCCCAGCTTTTTAATAACTAAATTCAGCTGCAGTCCATCTCTTCCAAACTCAGATTGAAGCCATGCTCAGGAAGAGAATGTTTAAATGACATTTTTTCAAACAGAAGCCTCCCCGCTTGCAGAAATGTTTATTTGCTTTATGAAGTAAATAAGTACCCTAATGAGGCTGCAACTCATCTGAGTTTTAATTCTCCAACTCATAGTTTATATCTATTTCTGTACTGAGATGACAAGTTACAGAACTCTTTTGGTATTCTGTATAAAATATAGAAAAGGCCTTTCATGGTCTCTGTGTAGTCCCACTTATGGGTTGTGCACCTGTGCAGAGCTAAATTCAGAATATTCTAGAGTTTAAGCCAAGAAGTTAGCACTCACCCATCCCTTTCTAAAAGGAGAGATCACTGCCCTGAGAAATGGGGTGATCAGCTTGCTTCTAATTGCTTCATTATCATCAAGTTGTGAAAAACCTATTATAAATTTTGAAAAATGTTGACTATCTTGAAGGAACTGTGTATTAAAGTCAGTGATCAAAGTGCTACTCCAAAGAGACCCAAGCAACCACTAATACATGTATAGAGTCTACCTTTTATATCATATGTTATTGTCACACTTTAACCTGACTTACTAAAAGTTTTATATTTATTTAAAATAGTTTTACGCTACCTTTCTATCAGAAAGTGATATTCAAGGCAGCTTATAAATCAATGTCACTTAACATAGTTACAATTTGGACCAATTAAGCTGTGATGATGGAAGAATATATGAAGGAATAGTTCAGAAGGACATAAATGTTCTTTTGGCTTTGCCTCAGTGAGTTAATGAGGTGACAGACTAATAGTTCAACATATAAACATAGTTTTATTTTCACTTTTCTGGAATATGATGGCAAAATACCAAGGTCCTTTAATTTCCTCTTGCAAAAATGGGTTGAACAGTTTTCACTCTCAGGATCTCACATCATCTTATTTGATACAGTCTTACCTCCTCATTAATTTGTTAGTTCCTGATTAATTGAATAACATTTCCACTACGGTTTGTCTGAGGGTTAATGCAATTCTTCATTTGTTTATCCCCAAGTTTTACTTTACCCAAAGGAAATATCAAACCCGTACTTCAACCTTTACTAGGGAAAATATAACTAATATGAAGTAACCCTGGGATTTGAATTTGGTAACAGCCATGAGCACTCTTACCCATGGTAGGAGTCCATGAGCAAGCTGTAAAACTGCATGTTTCCATTACCCATCCCCCCACTTCCCAGGGAAGTTCCTTCATCCTTCTTTAAGTGCAGCTTAGAATTATGCCAACACTAACATTAACCATAGTCAAGCCATAGTTCCCATTTAAGCAAGATTTCTAAACAGCTTTAAATCATGGTTTTACCTTTTGGTTAAGTGAAAACCATGATTAGCCCTAATAACAATGCTGACGAAATGCTGAACTTTTGTGAAGGCAGGAGAGATGAAGGAAACACATGATCCTGCAATTTGTTCTCAGTCCCTTGAGAGAACACTTCCCTGTCCCACAAACATGAAGATTCCTGTCCCTGTGCCAGCCATTATCATGGAAGCATTCCTGTTGGAAAACCAGGTGCTGAAAATATATCCAGATGTTAGCTTTATTTGGAGTCATTAAACTGTCATAATTCCCCACAGTAGTTTCATGACTGCCTTACTGAGTCTTCCCACAGTATGAGCAGAACAACTATGAAAATAGCAGGGATTAGTTTATAGGCAAATGATGCAGTAGTCAGTTGTCATTAACAAGACTCACTGTGACTTTGCTAGAGATTCAACAAGCAGCATTCATGAAGTATCTCTGCTTAAAAGAATAGTTTCACTCAGGTCAATCCATATACAACCAGGCCCGACATTCTGATCTACACTTGCTACAGCTGCTTCAGAAGCTGAACAATGGAGCAGATTTATATCCACTTCCAAACTCTCTTATCATTCAAAATATTTACTGTGAAAAAAAATCCACATCAGAAGACTCTGGAAGATATATTAGAAGAGTGGCATTTGCAGCCTACCAACACCATGGAAGTCTCTAGCAGTCATATTAGGTCCTGCTCCCAAAACTAGTGTTAACTCTACACATTATAGCTTTGCTAAAAGACTAAACACATGTTGGGAATTATATGAGTGGAGCCGCCTGAAGCTGGGGGTCAGACTAAATGGCCCGGAAGGCCCCTTCTGACTTTTTTTTCCTATGCTTTTATGTTTCTCTATGATAGTTCAAGTGTATCTTTATGTTAGGAAAAAAAACCTTAAGTAGATTAGTCAAAGGATGAAGAAAGATCTCAAAAGCAGCAGGGAATCCAAAGGAAAATGAAAAAGAAAGGAAAATAAACAATGGACATTCTATATTAACTATCATTCTTTTCACAAATATAGAAGCAGATTCTTATTAATAAAACTTCTATGAAAGCAGGTTTTAGGAACACAATCTTATTTTACTATCTTAATACTGAACTCTATGCCATCTCTTGTAATTTAGCCAAAGCCAGCCTAACCAACAAACATTCACTAGCAGTTTCACCTATGGAGTTGCCATAAAAATTGCCTAAGACGAATAATTACTTATCAGGGGATCTTGTTAAATAATTCTTTATTTAACAGATATTAAAATAGGTAGGTAAAAGAGACTTTCTTAAAAATAAAAGATTCTGGTCAACTTTCTTTTTTTACTGTTCACAGATTGATCTGGCTCTTATCTTCTATAAGCGCCACTTACAAAAAGATGTCTGCATAATACCTATCTATTCTTTGCCTTATCATATGAATCATATCCAAGATGAATTCTGCACCTGCTTCAGAACCTGCCCTCTTTAGAATCTCATTCCATATGTCAGGAAAGGTTTGAAATGTAGGACTTCCTGTTGCAAGGCTTTCATTTACCCTGGTTCCCAGCTGTGTATCTCTGTCATGATGCAAAGGCTGAACTATGAATACTGCTGCTAGTAGCCACATCCATATGCAAGTGCTTAGTCACTTAATCTTACAAAGCAAATGTTTTGGACTGTCTTCACAATGCTGTCTTCTGCAAATCTGTGGATATGCCTTGCTATTGTGCTTTTCTTCTCACTGCCATAAGCTTTCCTTTTTTACATCTTTCAACCCTTGCTGTGCCATTTACTCAACACCCATTTTGTTTCTGTTAGATATATCTTGTGGCTGACCTCAACTTTTACATGAAAAACTCTTCAGCTGATGTCAATTCTGGCTTCTAGTACTTTGAATTCTGGACTTGTCCTCTGGCCATATTTCCAAGGTAGGGTTAGGGTTTTACATTTCTGAAAACCTAAACACTAACACCAGAATTATGCTAATACTTTAAATTTTTCTGAGTGTAACAGGTTATCCATTGCAGAACTTTTGTGTTAATATGTCTTACATTGTCCATATGAATGACTAAAATTGACTTAAACGTGCTGTGATATCTTCTCAGCATTCTGAAAATAATATATAACACATTTTATAAGCTTTTCAACTTTAGACAATGAACTGAGTGCACATAGCTGCTGCAAATATGCATGAAATTTATGCACAGTGATTTGCTCTCAATGCCTTGTGTTACTTTTATGGCTGGATATGTGCCTTCCCTTTTTTTCAGAATAGTTAATTCAAAGTGTAGCATAAAATTAAGATTTCTTTCCTTATAGATATCACTATGTTCGTTAATACAGTTTAAAAGAAAAAGAGCAGAAAGGAAGGTCTGTACCTTTTGCAACTGTTGAAAAATGTAAGATAATGTCCGTGGAATGATGCCTCGATCACTGTAGCGCTCTGCTCCCCCAGTTATGGTAAAAGTCTTGCCACTGCCTGTCTGTCCATATGCAAAAATCGTGCCATTGTAGCCAGCCAGAGCACTGAAAGTGGAGGAATAAGCTCATCATACAATGCCCATATATAATCGATGAACATTTAAAAACCTTCAATCTATGATTAGCCATCGATATCTTTGTTGAACCAGAGCAAAACCAATTTTTCTTGAACTAAGGTTCTGTCAATTCTACAATTAAATAGCAGCAGACATCCTGAAAAGTATCAACTTTTGAAGTTCAATACCTAACTATGGGATGAAGTCCCAAAAGGAGTCAAATGATGGCATGCTTATCTGAACAGGGAATACCAGGGTAATCCGCCCATCCCAGAGACTTCTATAACACCAGACCCTGACAGACCAAGAGAAAAAGCAGGGAAAGGAAGAAAGAAGGGGAGAAATGGCAGGAAAGATGGAGGGAAGCAGAGAAATCAGAAAACCTGTTCAGAATTTCCAGTATCAATTTTAAAAACTAAAGGACTTACAGGGAGAAGTAGGCTACCTCCTTTCCACGAAATGATTAGCTAGAGTCAAGCACTAGACCCAAGATTAAATGTCAGCAAAAGATGGAAATTTGAGGAACTTCTTCAGGAAAGGTCAATATTAGACATATCTTATTTTAAGAATGAAAACTATCTCCTTCAGCTCCACAGATGGGGGCTAAGAAAAGGAGAAACTACTATGTAGGAGGGGGATACTCATCTATATTTAGGATTCCATCTGCTATTAGCTTCTCAATGGATGTAAAATTTGTGCTCACAGTACCAATATAAGCTTCCTCGCAACTTGTTCCTTGCTGCAAATTCATCAAAGAACTGGATTCTAGCTAAATATTCCAATCAAAAATCAAGCATGAATAAGCAACATAGAAATCTCCTTTAGACCTTTTACTTGTGGCTCCTGCATAGAAACTCTGCCTAATCATTATTCTCTATCACACTAAAGTGTTAAAATGATTTAGATACTGATCCTCATTCCCTTCCAGAGGTTCTGAGATATAAATCTGAGGCAGTATTGTATTTGATGCAGTAATTATGAGTAAATACTTAACATAATTCTTTCTATGCATTTATGTAAAAAGTGTAACTCTTCTTACTGCATCAAGAAGAGAATATTCCTGAAGGGTTTCTATATGTCCAGGGCTGCAGGACTTAGCTAAAGGATCCAATACTGCTAGAAGATCCAATAGAAATGTATTAGTGGTACTTATTTCTGTTCCTTTTTTTTTTTAAAGAATGTAAATTGGATACAACTTAAGGCTGCTTTAGGCAAAGCACGTCTAGGAAGCCCACAAAAAAGACAGAAAAACTGTCTTCCCTGGCTGCTGCCTCCCAGCAACTGTTACTCAGTGACTTACTGCCTCATATTCCATTTAGCTAATAGTGTTAGACCTAACCTCCACAACTTTTTCTAATTTCCTTTTATAGTCATCTAAGCCAGTAGCACATCTTGTGGCAGTGGATTAATCTAAGAGTTTTAATCTGTCCAGAATCTAAAGCCAATCACTTTCAATGGGTACCCTAAGCTTAAGGCATATGGGAGCTTTGTGATGGAATAAGAGTGAAAATGTTCATAAGATAATGCACAGTTGACTTTATTTGTATAAACATTTCCATTATGATCCTGATGAGGGCTGTTGGGATAAGAAGATCAGCAATGGTGTATAAGTTTTCAGAAGAGGCCCTTTCAGTCTTTCCTGAAATGCAATGTGAAGGTTAAAATAATGACTTATTAATAGTGTAGGAAGAAATTCAAAACTAGCTATCCTTGGCACATGTGCATGTTTCTTATACAGTACAATTTAATAGGTGGTACCACCTGACATACTGGCCTACTTTGATAAACAACTTATGGTAAAGGCTTTGGCGGACTGCAAACAGAGTAACAATAAGCCATGATGGCTTTGAGCCTTGTTTGTGGCATGGTTTGTCAGTACAGTTTGTTAACAGCAAATAAGCTACTCTGAGAATCCATGGGTTGTTCCTGAGTTGAAAGTGGGCTGTTTTCAAGGTGGCTTATCATGACATAGAAACCCAATAGTCAGTGGTTTCACATCAAAGGCTTCAGTGCCACATGACAAGAGCTGCAAAAATACTGGCTGTTCCTTAAAATTTATATATTTAATGTATTTATTTGTAATATTTCCTTAACACTTAAATATAATAAAATCCCTAAGTATTTCACATACAGACATTAAAATCTCACTTAAAATATAATTAAATATATTATATTAAAAGCCAATTTCAGTTATGAGAATATGGAACAATAAAGGGAAGCAGCATGCATGTTTTAATTATAAGCCAGGGAAAGCTTGGGTGAACAACTGCATTTTAGGAAGCATTTGAAATATGCAACTTAAGCTGCCTTCTCACCTGCACTGGGGAGGATTTTCCAGAAGGTGGGAGCTGCTACTGAAAAGTCTCACCACTGAATGGCAACATTTTGTTAATTTTGGAAAATCCAGCAAAGCCTCCTCTAACAATCTTAAATGCTGGCTGGATATATATAAGGGAAGGAGGCCTGATAAACATCCCCTTCCCAAGTTGTTTAGGGCTTTGTATGACACTAGTATAACCATGAACATGGCTCGATAGTTAATAAGCAGTTCCTTTAACACAGATGATATATGAGCATGGCCAGGTTTTCCAGTAAGCATCCTAACTCATGCATTCTACACTAGCTGCAGCCTCTGAACTGGGCAGCCCCACATAATGTGTATTACAGTAACATCAATGAGGTTACCAGTGCACGAATCCCTATGGCTAGGCTATCCCTATCTAAGAATGTGTATAGATGGTGCATCAACTGAATGGTGTACATTCATGGGCACTCCAAGCCACTGAGGTCATCTAGGTTTCCAACAACCAGAGAAGGATCCAGGAGCAGAGCTAAATGACATAGCTGCTCCTGGGTGCAATACCATCCAGAACACACAAACTCCACTATTTGAAAAGCACGGCTGCATGCACAGCTAATAAGAAATAAAATATTCTGTATTAAATATTAAATACTATTTTATTTTTATTTATTTATTAAAACATTTCTATGCCGCCCCTTGCCGAAGCCTCGGGGCGGCTTACAACACAATAAAATACAATAAAATACAAAAATAACAATATAAAATTAACAATATAAAATACTAATACTAATGCTGGAATGATTATATGTCCACAGATGACCAATTTCTGTTGAGTCTACTTTCTCTTTCTCTTCTGCGCTGAGCAAATTACATATGACATCTTAGATAAATAGGTAGCCATCATTTTCTCCATTACAGCCCTCAAAGTTGGGAAGATGTTCTGCATCCTTAACAGCTTGTTTTCCTAAAGGCAATTTTGTTATATGCAAAAAGATGGTTTAGCCTTCACAAATGTACAGTACCTGGGCCAAGGCAAGTGGACACATCAGAATTTATTTTCTGTCCAGTTAGACAAAAATAACTTATTCCCACTAAGGAGCATTTTTACTAGCTTTTGAATGCAGAAGCACTACATGGGACACTCAAATTTCTGGAATCATTTTAGAATTATCAGAGCAAGTCAGTAGCCATTTCTGATTTTACCCCTGAACAGACTCTATATGCAAACAGCAAAGTTCTGTACAGTTCTAGTTTGCAAAAATGTACTTTATATACTTTCCCCCATAATTCAGTTTTCTCCCTACAACCATATGAATTGAAACATTTCATTCTGATTAAGTAATCAAGGAAGAATTATTCTTTTGACAAGATTTTCTAAACTTCCAATGAAGACTGAATGGGATTTCTTCAGTTCAAAGAACTTACATATGTGAAAGAAAAGAACAAATAGTATTTATGTGTGCTTTTGTTTATAAGAAAAGCTATAAATAAGTCAAACTTTAAAAAGTAAAACCTTTTTGTCTTCTAAAGGAAGATGGGGCCATACATAGGTCAACCGCTAGTCTGGTGCCATGAGAGAAGCAAAGGGCTTCCAACTCATTTATCTGGAAGCCTAAGCATTTGCCAGATGGCTCAGCATAATCTACAATAGCAAAATATCAATGAAAAGCACACAATAAGATCCAAAGAAAGCCAGCGTATGCTCAGAACAAAAATATTAGAATTGTCAGAAGTGTATTTTTTTGGACTGGTTATTAGGCAACTATTCTTCCTTCATTTGGAAGAGAAGTAATAGTCTTTTTTACATGTTACCATATAGTTAGAATGAAAGAGTTGTTTGTTAATATTAGCATATGTTGAACATTGCATTTTTGGACTTTGTGGTATTGAACTGAAACTGAGCAATTCTTTTTCCTTGATGTATGTTTGGATTTTTGGATTGACACTAGCTATAGAACTAAAAAAAAAAAGCCTTCCCCTGGCCTTGTGTGTGGAGACTGGAAATTTGACTACACACAATGTGAATCAACTTTCCAATGTGGTATGGTAGTTAGAATGTTGGACTGAGGACCAGGGAGATTCAGGTGCTAGTCCCTGCTTCGCCACGAAGCTCACGGGATGACTTTGGGCCAGTCACTCACTTTCAGCCTAATCTACCTCACAGGATTGTTGCTGAAAGGATAAAATGGGGCAGAGGAGGCCCACATAAGCTGCCTTGGGTTTCTTACAAGAGAAATAAATATAAATGCAATCTCATTATTCTTTCAGTGTAATAAACCATTGTTTATCAGGCCAAAGAATAACCTTGCACCTACATGTCCCAACATCGCCTTCCTCTCTCACACTAGAATATATTACTTCCATTGTCGTCACTGTCATCAGTCATGTCTGACCCTTGGCCACTGTAAGGATCATTGCTCTCTATGCCTCTCTGTCTCGCACTGCTTCCTTCAAGACTGCCATGTCCATCCCCCAGTGTCTTTCTTTATGGTGTTCAGCCAACAGGTGCTGGGGTGGTCCCTTCTTTTTCCGCTGATCACTTCCAGCATGATTGATTTTTCAAGTGAGTCAGTTCCCATGATCAAAGTATGACAGTCTTTGCTTGGTGATCTTGGCTTCAAGGGATATTTTTGGTGAGGCTGGGCCTAGGACTTGTTTGTTTGTGATTTTTGCAGACCATGGAATAT